CCAGTACCTGGAGAGGTTCCTCAGGACACAGCACTACCTGCTACAGATGGACGGGCCCTTGTCTCTCCATGACCGGCACTACATCTGCATCATGGTACGAGGGCGGGGGCCACTCTCGCCTCCCTCGACGGGCCCGTTCGCCGCATTAGTCATTTCGGTAATCGCGTCTCGTCTTCTGCTCTCAGGCGGCAGCACGACACCAATGCTCATACCTGGTGAACCTGCACGTCAACGACTTCCTCCAAGTGGGAGGAGACCAAAAGTGGCTGAACGGCCTGGACAACGCTCCGCAGAAGTTACAGCTGGTCGGGGAGCTGAACAAAGTGTTGGCTCACAGGCCGTGGCTCGTCACCAGGGCGCACATCGAGGTATGACATCATGCGGCAATGCCGTGTGAAGTGGCACGGTGCTGGTAGCGAGGTTTCGCCGAAGTAGAAGACCGGTCGCTGTGGTTTCGGACCTGGTTGCAGTTGATCAAAGGGGCTGACGGCTTGCAAATCCATTTCTGTCTAGCAACTGCTGAAGTCTGAGGAGCACAGCTGGTCTTTGGCCGAGCTGATCCATGCCGTGGTCCTGCTCACACACTATCACTCTCTGGCCTCCTTCACCTTTGGCTGTGGCATCAGCCCTGAGATCCACTGTGACGGGGGTCACACCTTCCGGCTGCCGTCTGTCAGCAGCTACTGCGCCTGTGACATCGCCAACGGCAACGGGGCTGTGGACGAGGTGTTGGGAAACCACCAGGTGAGCATGTGGTTCTTCACTGCGATTTTATTCTTCGTTGTGTTAAATGGAGGACAGCTGTGGGCATTATGGAATTGCAGGCTGAAACTTGCTTGATAGATGTTTGTGCTGTGGTGAGCGTAGCGCAGGTCCTGTGGTCTGATCTGATTGTGTGTTTCTTTGTTTAGGAGGCTTCTTGTGAGGTAGAAGCCCTCATGGAGAGGATGAAGTTGCTACAGTGTCGGGATGAGGAAGAGGCCAGTCAGGAAGAGATGGCCACCCGTTTTGAGAGAGAGAAGACGGAAAGCATGCTGGTGGTCACGACAGGTATGCCCCCCCCCCCTCACTGCCCCGTTCCCACTATCTCGGGATTCCGTAAGTGGAGCAGCAAGGAGCATGAAATATAAATGCTGAAAGCAGCAGATAGAAGTATAACAGCTGCCTGGTGTGTTTGCTCCCCCCCCCCCACTCCTCCACCGGCGTTAGATGCGTGAGCATGTGTGATGTTTGTTTACAGAAGAAGAGGGGACGTTTCTATCGAGAGACATTTCCTGCCACTTTGAGGACCTCAGTTACGGTTACAAAGATTTCTCCAGGCGTGGGGATCACGTGCCCACTTTCCGGGTTCAGGTACGGCTCTCGGAACTTGAAAGGAGCGACGATACGCTTTGCCGATCAGTCTGGGGGGTCTTATCTGGGAGGAGGATTTTTATATGGGTTTTTAAAATGACACCCACTCACAAGAACCCACATATTCTCTCCCTTGGGCCGTCTGTGTTCTGTCCTTCCTACTCACTCACTGGGGATGTGAGGGTGCTCAAATTAGTGGGTGTAAACCTTCCTGTTGACCTTCGGACCAAAGATAAGCACACTTTTTCGGTTTTGTTCCACTGCCCTCTGACAAACATTTAGCGGCAGCTGACGTGGTGGTTAGTGAGGTTTACTGTTGCTCCAAACCAGTGAAACCTGTGTGAGATGTTTTAATTTTGACTGTATAAATATCCTTAGATATGGCAGACAGCTTTTACGCCTTGATGTGTGTGTATATACCCCTCGTTTTTACACCAGTGTGGCCTTACTGACTGCTCCCTGCAGGACTACAGCTGGGAGGACCACGGCTACTCCCTAGTGAACCGGCTGTACCCGGACATCGGGCAGCTGCTTGACGAGAAGTTCCAGATAGCCTACAACCTGACCTACAACACCATGGCTACGCACCGGGACGTGGACACCTCCATGCTGAGGCGGGCAATCTGGAACTACATCCACTGCATGTTTGGCATCAGGTCAGCAGCTTGAACACCAGGCACTACTAGGCGAGCAGGAGTAAACACTGAGATCGGGAACAGTCCATTTACGTGATGCCATTAGGCCTTGGATAGTCAGAGTAGATGCAATTTGTGGCAGATGTTGCATTGTGTATCCTGCACTTAATTCATCCTTTATCTTCTGCACTGTCGTTTTTTTCTCCCCCCTACTGTAGATATGATGACTATGACTATGGAGAGATCAATCAACTATTGGACCGTAACTTTAAAGTTTACATCAAGACTATGGTCTGCAGTCCGGAGAAGACCACAAAAAGAATGTATGAAAGCTTCTGGAGACAGTTTCAGCACTCTGAGAAGGTGTGATATCTCTCCAGCACAGGGCTGCTTTCGTCGTTGCCTCCTGTACTGCTGTGGGGGGGACATCTGTGGTTCTGCTGCTGGTCGTAACACAGTCGAATTCTTCTCTTCCAGGTCCACGTGAATCTGCTTCTTATGGAAGCCCGTATGCAGGCTGAGCTGCTCTACGCTCTGAGAGCCGTCACCCGCTACATGACATGAAGTGTTGGGGGGGGGGAGAGGGATTTTTTTTGTATAACTTTTGTTTTAGGATTATTTCTATTATAACTAGTAGTATTATCACTTTGTGCTCTCATCGGACATGAAAGGAGACTTGAATGTGATGCAGAACTGAATGGTGGATGGCTGGCAATGGCCATCTGGAACCAGCAGCCAGGTAGCCTCTCCTGGGCTTCTTTGTAGTGCCAAAAACTCATTTGAGGGGTATCTGGGCCAACCATCCATCTGCAGGATGTTATCCTGGGTGGGGTGGGGGGAGGGTGGCTAGCTGGGGAGGGTCCATAGTGTTGTCACACTTGCAGGTGGCTCCTCTGCATATATCATGAAAACGTTGCAGCTTCTGGGCCCAGGCCAGGCTGCATCGCATGTCCAAGTCCATAGTCTTGCATTAAAAGCTGACTAAGCAGTGGCAGAGGTGGGGTGGGTGTGGGCAGCTGGAGCCGCCGGCGTCACCCGGCTCCTTCATGTGCCTCAGTGCAGCGCAGTAGGTGTAGCAGCTGCTGCCGCCGGTCTCGGGTTGGGCCGCGGTAGCGCACCATTGAGCCGTTCATGTAAGCTAACACGAGTGTAAGGAAAAATCTGAGCCTGTGCGTGGTTTACTGTACCGAACCACGAAGCTATTTAGTGATGCTCTCGTATTGTACGTATAGTCTCATCTTCGGTGTTGCAGAAGTCTGGTGGGACACCCTAGAAGGGAAATGAAGACGTGATGCTAGTTTTCTATTCTTGTTATGGGGGGAGGGGGTGGAGCTCTGTCCATTTAAAGGGTCTTCCTTGTGAAAGTGCTTCCTTTGTCTAACCCTCAGTCTTTATTCCCCCACGTCTTTTTTTTCCCCCAATTTGAATATACATACCTCCTCGAGTGCTCTTTGTGAGCAGAGGTGCTCTATGCTGTCACACAGGACTGCAGCATAGAGAAGGTTGACTTTTTTTTTTTTTTTCCTCCAGTTATTTGTCTGCAGCTCAGTCAGACAACATGCTAGTTCTCGCTGTTCTGATCTAACCAGTGTATATATAGCTTTTTAAGGACTGGGAGTCCCATGTTTGTTTACTTTACCAGTGAAATGCTGGACCTGGCAGTCAATTGAAATGAATGCTGTAGCTGAAAGATTGAGAAAAGTACTTATTCAGTATGCTTTTAAGAACTGTAAAAGTCTGAGATGATGGCTGCTGGCATTTTTATATAAACAATAAAACATTTTCAATATATTTGAGTTCAGACTTAGTTCTCTTCCATTGTGTAGGTGAATTCCATTCACATTAGCTCAAAACTGTTTACAATAAAACATTTGTGATGCAACACGAAAGCACTGAATTTGACAGACATTTAAAGTGTCATTTTGGGGGTGGGGGGGGGGGGGTTAATTGTAAAAGCTTGTCCTTGTTTCATTGAGTTTGGCATCCCGATATTCAAATAGTTGGATTTCACCCTATGGGCTTTGTCTTGGAGAATGAGCATCTACTGTTCTCTGAATGTAAAGAAACTTTGTTGTGGAGATTGTAACCATATTGGAGACTCAGATGCTGCAGGGGATTGTGGGTGTTAAATACGGTTGCAACCATTAAGACATGCATTGTATTTGTACACAAGACATCAGCAATGACAATGACGGTTTTCCCACCATTTTCTATATAAATCGGAATTATTCAGTGTCAGTACCTGCTATTCAATTTGTATCCAGTACAGAGACTTAACTTTATTTACAGTTCTGAAAGAAGTTTGGATCATTTAGCTTATTAGGTTCACTGCATCTCTTTCATTGTGTTTACAATCTCTGGGGCTGTGAGTGAAGGGACTCAAACTGCACATCCGTTATTTCAGCGTGAGGAAAACGAGGCCAAGTTCATAAGGACTGTAGAGTCTCTTTTACTGTAGACCTGGTGAAATGACCTTTAAAAGTCTGAAGGTGGCGCTGCACTCTTGCCGCCATGATGGGCCACAATGCTCTGCTCTTGATCCGGTCGCTGCAAAGTTCTGTTCTCACAGCTTTGAAATTCCTAAATTGGGGAAAGGATCTAACACGGTCAACCCAAAAAGAGGTGAATGAGGATATGTGTCTAATACCTTCCGATATGTATATTTCATCAGCCTGTCTACATGCTGGATTGCATATGGACGCCGTCTCAGAAGACCCATCTTCCTACAGTCTGGCCCTCATCGTTTTTTAAATGACAGTTTCTGTTGTCTTAGTTATTATTTTATTATTGGAATGTAGGGCTTCAGAAAAATGTATCTAAGCAGAAAGCTGGTGACCTTTCCCAAGTGGTGTTTTCTATAATCGTATTACTAATATTACACTGTTGCTCCTCTGTGCCTCAATCACTGTTCTTTCCCATGTTGATGTAATAAAACTTTTAAAAGGTTTCAGTTGTCTTTGAGTTTTTTGTGCGGTAATTTATATTATGTAGGGCAGACATTCAGAGACAGGGCTACCATCCATCCATCCATCAGTCATGTGGTTCTTCGCTTTTACAGATTCGCCATCCTTTTTCCCAGAACTGTTTCCAGGATTGTGGTGAGCCTGGGTCCTCTCCGAGGAAGCGCACGGCATGAGCCAGGGTATTTCCTGGCCAGGATGCCAGTCTGTCACAAGCTCCCAATGAGGGCAATTTAGAGACACTGATCAATCTAAGCCACACGTCTTAGACTGTGGGTGGAAACCAGCAGATCAAAGTGGGCAAACTGTATGCAGAACTGGGGTCAGAATACAACCCACAACGCTGGAGGTGCGAGGCCAGCGTGCTGCCCACTGCACTGCAGAGCTGCACAGAAATTACCACGACGGGAATGCAGCCACGCCTACATTTACTCATTTCCTCTTCGGACTTCAAAGATACATACATTCACATTGCTCTGATTCTAAAGTGCAACATTGGATTCGTCATCTGAGAGGATCCGCCCACGTGTAAGATGGACACTTCACAGCCTGAGCGAGTCACGCCACGGGTACGGCAGCCAATCGCGAGGCTAGGATGGCACGGCGAGTGGCTCCCGGGCGCCGACCTGCCTCTGGATCCTATCCTGCAGCCGCTGTGCCACAGGAAGGAATTCGCTTTCCCAGCATCTCTGGTAAAAGATGCCAACTTCCTGTCCGGCACCTTCTCTCATGGTCCAATGCAGCATATGGTCTTTGTCTATTGATAGGAAAGAAATAAAAGATCTATTGTTCGCTTCAGTACATACGTTGCACATTCACTAGTTTCACAGGGAGGGAAAATACTGAGTAAACCTGTTAATGTACCCTGCAGTTAAAATGGTGTTTGCAAAGGGTGTTTATAAAGTCTTAACCATTGAAATGTCGAAACTGTTTTCAGGGCATGCTGATGTAACTAAAAGTTAAAAATCCAGAGGGCTGCATACAGCATTACATCACAGAACGGGTTGGACAGGACAGACTCCTGTAACTCGGTTGCTTAGAAACGGAGGAGGTGTCCATTCGGACCGCGTACTCAGGTAGCGGGAGAGGAGGCGCAGCAGCGAGCGGCAGTGACGCTCCCCGAAGCCGAGTGCGCCGCCGTCCTCGCTGCAGTTCCACAGCGCCTGGCACGCTACACTGGCCATCTGCCAGTCCAACGGCCCCCAGTCCCGCAGGCAATCCAGCAACCTGCAGGGGGAGCCATCATCAGTGGTACCTTCATGGATTCCCTTTGCGGCTGATGTGCTTAACAGCAACATCCACAAAATATAAAGAATAAATTATAAATCTTACGCCTGTCATTGTTAAGTACTATAGGCACATTATTATGACTGTTTTAATTATAATTAGTGAGCCATGTATGTAAGCTCCATGTATTTTGGGCTTAACTCTGAATCACTGCAAGCTGCATGGTTTCCGAAGTTTTACATTTAAAGTTATATAATCAATTAGCGAACAGCTCAGCAACTTGTTAGTGCTCACTGGGTTTGATGGTATTACTCATTTATAGCATTTATTTATTTATAGCCAAGTAGTTAAGATGTTAGTCTTATGATCCAAGGGATGTCCATGCGGGTTTGAATCCCACTCACGGTTAAATGTTTGTTTACTAGCACCTATCGCTGAACAAGTAGAATATTCCACTAACAACACATTCTGGGTTCGAATCCCAGAGAAGACAGACTGCAATCTTTCCATCAACTTTATGTTGTTTTGAATAAGATCATCAGATAAATGAATAAATGAAACTCTTACAAAGTTTTAAGGTACAATAGTGGCAGTCTGGGAATGTTACGTGTGTCTAATTAATCAGCCCTCGGGGTGCCAGAGTAGGTGTATCTATACTTGGTGTCCAGGGTCTTGGGGCATGTGTGTCTAAGGAGTTCTTCACATTTCCTGGCTGAACTGACTCATATCTGATTTTTTGCCTTAATGTGACACATATCACTTTTCAGGGCTGTGTGGACACAGAAACAGTCAAGATCTGAACAAAAAAATCGGAATTGAACGATTCGACTTATATTGTGAATCTAGCCAAAGGTGCCCAGGAACAAAAGGCGAGGATGAGGATCACACCCCCCTGACTCGACGTCGGAGTCTCACCCTTGCTGTTGGTGACTGGGCTGCTCTGATATCTGTGGCTCACTGGGCTACCAGTTTCACATGGCTTTTATCAGGCCTGAAATTCTAAAGCCAGTCACACCAACTCTAATACCTCCTTCTAAGGGCAAGAAAAATCCTCAGAATTTTAGCAACTGCCCAGAAATTACTTGTGACCATGTTGACATTTTGCTTATATTGGGGGCACAGAGCACCAGTACATTGTATGTTCTTAACAAATGCACTTGGTCTTGTACTAGGCCCACACAAATGACGGCATGTTGAACCCGGCCTTTATGCAACAGGCTGAAATAGGCCGACAGGGGTCTCTGGAGAAGAAAGGCTTACTTCTGCACGACCCCCTCTTCCCTGAGGGCGGCTCTCAGCCTCTGGTCCGTAGAGAGATTGGTGAGCACCCCGCAGCTGGCGTAACACAGGTCCTGCCGCTTCGAGTCCAGCAGAGCCACTGCAAACCGGTGAGCTGTGTGAGGGGAAAAAAAACCCCAAAAAAAACCAGTGGTGACAACATAGCACTGTGGCTTCCCGCAAAAACTGGGACCCTGGTGTGTGGTGAACAGAGCGGGAATTCCTGCTCGAAAGGACACAGAAACATTGTTTTATAACAAAAGTAACAAGGACACATTGTCTAGAGGGGTAAGGAGAGAGCGGTAAGGACAGTCCACGTGTGTCTAACGCTGACTATACTCTCACGGTGACGTTAATAAAAATGCGCTACAATCTGCCTCTGTTTCCTACCTGGTATTTACTCATAATAGGCAAGCATTACTTTTTATGCATATCTCCCTCTTTGTTTTACAGTTTGAATAATTGCTAAAGAGCTACGTGAGGGTTGATCACCTTTCCGACGTAGCATGAAGGCCTGGACTTCCTGAGAGCGTGAGATGTTCCCTAGGACACACATGGCTTCCAGCACGACATCCATGTTGGTGCTCAAGAGCTGCTTCAACATCACTGTGGGGTCGGGGGGGGGGGAAGAGGGTATGGCGGTGAAGGAGCTTGAGCAGAAATGATTTTCTAATCATCCCAAGCTGCCGGCCCACCCATTAGCATTGTAATCAGAAAAAATATAGCCAAGTAGTCTCAGATTCAGGGCTATTCGAAACTGACAGTGCACATTATGAGTCATTCTGAAACCTGAACATGAACCTCACAACCAAAATGACAGGAGCCATCGTTTGTGTCAATGATAGAACGTTGTTTGAGGCCATGAAAAGGCCTGGTTTGCTCACAGGTCCAAACGGGAAGACGTACAGCGAGCGAGGAGAAGCGGCTGTGCCCTCAGCACGGAGCCGTCGCTCTCGTAGAAGGACAGGTTGTTGATGGCGACGGTGGTGTTGATGACGACCTCCTCGCGGCCCTCAGAGAGGCTGCGCTCTGTAAAATGGGGGAGGGAAACAACGTAAGCGGGGTGATAAAGCCACCCGTACCGACAGCTGCAGAGTGGGGACTCCAATTACAAACAAATGCTTAGCAGGTCATAGTAAGAGCGATGAACAGAACATAGAATTCCATTAACTACAATGCTAATTCTGCAATCTGCGGATTCTTACGCCACTAAGGCCAAGGTCAGGGTTGTCATTCCTCAAGTTACGGATGAGTGTCACTGAGAAAGAACTTCAGTGTCCCTGGAGACTATAGTGCAATTAACAAAAAAAAAATGTAAAAATAAATAAAAGAGATCGTTAAATGATATATGAGGCAATAAAAACAATCACGCAATAAATAGACATTAACAGCAATACGGAAATGCGTGCTGTCCTGCATTTCCGAGCCGTAGCAGCAGTGCAGTTAAAGTGTCACAGGACCGTCAAGTTAAGTCACACATGCGTGGAATTTACTCACCCTGTACTCCCTCTTCACTAGCCGCTCGTGTGGAACATTACCACAACTTTAACATAAACAATGATATGTACTTTTTATATGAGAACCATTTCTTGATGCATAACTTGCGATAAACAAGAAGGTACGGCCATGGGTCCAGGGACATTTCTAGGAAAAGCATTTGCGTTTCAAGCGGAAAGTGAAACTTTAGCGTTTTTTGCAGTTAGGATCAGACAGAAGTACATTGTAACGAAGGTCAGGTGTGAAATCAGAAGAAGAGAGTACGACTCAGCTTACAGAAGCTAAACAGGCAACAGTCGGCTCACACCCGGGCCTTCTTTAAAAGAAGGAGCAGAGAAAATGTATAATAGAATAAAATGCAATAAAATGTTTTGTAAATTCTTCAGCCTATGACAAAAAAAAAAAAATCATGACATGATTCATGACAGGAAATGCAAAAAAGAAAAAAATTACATGATGACAGGAAGCTGTAGATGAGCATCTTGTGACGCCAGTAATGATTTTAAAAGCGCAGATATATTTGCATGGCACATCGCATTCTTTGTTTTGACACCTCGCACGAACCGCAGATGTACAGTACCTGCCATTATGACTGTGAGTCAGTTTCAGTGACTGGAAATGCCTTTCATCACGGTATTCTCAGTGCTTTCTGCCCTAGACCGCAAGGCCTGCTGGCTAATGTCACCGGGCGATCAAAACAGGATATCACCAGCTGCGGTGCCCCCAAACCTGCGCAGAGGCGACGGAAGCCCGGCAGGGCTCTAAGGTGGGAGGAAGTGGGCAGCATGCTGGGATTCCACTGCCAGCCTCTGCCCGCAGGCTCTATTGATTTGGATTGGTGACAAACCCTCCGGCGGCCACACGCAGCCCGTCGGGAACCTCACCGAGAACATCGAGCAGCGAGTGGACACACTGCGCGTTGTCCACCAGGGCGGCGCCAGTCGCGGGGCACATGGCCGCGTTGGCCAGGACGCGGGTCAGCTTCGCCAAAACATCCTCCGAGGCAGTGGTGCCCGTAGCGTGGCACGTCCGGAAGAGGGGCAGGAGTGCGTCCAGGAGATCGCTGCCCTCACCACACGTTTGCCGGCGAGCCGCGTCACTCTTAGCTGTCAGGCTTCCCAAGGTAAAGAGAATGCGCACCACCAGGTCCTACAGGGAGTGAGATATGCACCAGATGACATGCTCAGCATCTGTTCATCTGAGGTGGCAGTGTGAGTTGGAGTCATTTTGAACGAAAGTCGCAATGTTTACACTGACTCAGCTTCACTGGCTTTGCCCCCTTGAAATTCCAGTCCTGCCTGCACCCCTCCACCCACCCCGGTCTGTATTTTTTTCCCCAATTTCATTGAGCGGAGCACAAATGAGGCTCACACAGCCCTCTGTCGGCTACGCTGGCATGCGTCGGCCCTGGGAACTGGAGCAGAGAAGCGGTGGCATTTTTAAATAGGAAATGTCTTTGCTAGCCACTAACCACTTCCTGTGTCTCTGCATCGCTGGGCTACATACATGTCATAAAATGAGCCTCGTTTATACAGGCAGACCGGGTCGGAGTCATTGTAACGGTGCAACAAAGGTGTGTTAAGAAAACTAACCCTGAGCGAGCAAACCGCAGCACAGCTGCCTGGGTACAGTGCGTACTGTTCTGGCTCCAGAGGCTCGCAGACACTGTGTGACAGCTCACTGCACACCCCAACATCCCCAGCTCACTGCACACGCTTAAATCCGCCGCCTGAGACAGAATGTTTCTGGGGAGGTCATGTGTGCTGAAACCCTACCGAGTGCTTTTGGCTGACGTGTCTCTGGCCTAATTGGACATGGGGGGGGGGGGGGGGGGGACATGCTAGAAGGTCCACTTGGGAGTGACGCACAGGAGGGCACTCTCTACACGTGGGGGCGGTGGTGACAGGGAGACGGTTCCGAGTCGGGGAGACAACCAGACCCACCAGCCGCGTGCTGTGGTTCCTCAAGAGCGTCGAGAACGTCGGGTAGCAGCTGGGGGTGTCAGCCAAGGCCAAACAGCAGTCGTGGTAGGAGGACAGCTTACTGGGGGGGTGAAGGAAGTGTTTATATACAGCATCCCATTACATACTGGGAATCGACACAGAAATTCCAGGAACACATTATTATACAGGACAGGGAATTCATTTAAAAAAGTTTTGGGTAAACAATCATAGCCCATTATTAACAGTGAATTTAAACAGGGTTATTTGGCTAGTAGCTTATCAGATATTTCTTTGCCTATTAATATAGTTGAATATTTCACTGAAGCTAAGGGGAGGGGGGGCCTTCCTCCCTTTATAAAACCCAAGTCTGAGGAAAGCAAGGAACCATGGGGTGGGGGGGGGGGTTGGGAAGTCTAGTTGGTACCTGAATATCCGGGTTACATTGGTGCACACGTCCGCGTCTCCGGCGTACAGCGTCAGCACCTCACACAGCTCGGGAAGTCCCGGGCGGGTTAGGAACTCGGGCCGGCACTCGGGGAGCTCTGCCAGGTTCCTCAGGGTGGCGGTCAGCTGTATAGGGAGGATCCGGGCAAAGTGGGGGGGGGGCTGGACCAGACTGCGCCATCGCATGGCGGTGGGACCGTGCATCTGTGTGTGTGTGTGTGTCTGTCTGTCTCCGCTATTGAGCTTTTAGACTGCAGGTGTCCTGGTGAAGTACTGAAACGGATCACTCTTAAAATGCACCGCGATCGAAAAGATTAAACGTTTCACACTGCTATAAACAAATGCGTTGGCTAATCAGTGAATGTAACTCAGCGGATAAGGGATCTTAAAGAGCGAGGCAGGGATTCTGGGCCGGTGCCAGCCAGCCCTGTCTCCGTGTTTGCACAGGGAGCACCCCATGTTCCTTGCGCTGAAAGAGGAACGGCATGACCAGTTTTCCCCTCCTGTTTGGCGAGCACGGTTCCCTGGGGGACAAAGGCGTTCTGTCATGGTACACGGCCGCTCGCGATACGAGGCACATGCCGTTCCCCGATGATGGATGATGGCCGTGGACGGCACTCTGACGGCTTTGAGAACACCGCCTTACCTTGACGGTGATAAACACCCCCCCCCCCTCCTTCGCCTCAGTCGCGGATATCGGGCCAATCGCAGCATGAGGGAGCGGTGTTTAGACTTTAGGGAGCTTTAAATTTCCACTATTCAAATGTGAAGAGAGGCAGCAGATGACCTGGCATTTTGCCCCGAGACATCTGACTTCGCAATATCAGCTGTAGAATAATCCATCTACACTCCAAAAATAAAGTCGCCTTTTGAATTTATACCAGCAAATACTTAAAAGCCAATGACTAGATCATTATTACAGTCCTGCAACGTTATGCAGCAATAAAGTAAAGTCAGCTAAGTACCTGAATCTACTGAATGGCCAGGTTACACCTCCATCCATCATAAATGGATTTTTTCTTCCCTGTTGGCATGGGCATATTCCAGGACAAGAATGCCAAGATTCAATGGGTTCAAATTGTCAAAGAGTGGTTCAGGGAGCATGAGGAATCATTTTCATGTGTGACTCATTGAAGGTCCTCATTGAAGGTCTCTGGGATGTGATGAAGGAGGCTTTATGGAGCGGTTCAACTCACTTGTCAATACAGGATCTCGGGGAGAAATTAATGCAAATCTCGATGAAAATAAAGGGTGAGATGTTGAATAAGCTTGTGTAAACAATGCCATGACAAATATGCGCCATAATCAAAGCTAAAGGCGGCCCAACAAAAAATTCAAATGGCGACTTTTTTTTTGGACAGGCAATGTATCTATCTTCTGTTTGTCCAAGACAGGGTCACAGGGAACCTTTAAAAAAAGTCTCAAACTGATAATGATCGTAAGCTCAGTGAGAGCCAGAGGGATATACAGGGGCGGGGCACTGGCCCCAGCTGAAAGCTGACCGGGCCCCAGAGCTAATGATAGGGCCCCTCTGTGTGAATGAAGGCCCCAGCGAAGGCCAAAAATCAACGCCACCGCAGATGGGGCGGTCGGCGAGACTGACCTGCAGCAGGATGTGGCCCCAAATGACCTGGAACCCGCCTCCCTGCCCATGGAGGTCGTTCAGCTGACGGACAAGCAGGAGGAGGGTGGGGACGGAACCCGCAGCCTGCAGCTGCCTCCGCAGGCCCGCGTCGCCCGAGAGGAACTTCAGCGCACCGACGCAGTACAGCAGCGCCTCGCCATCAGAGCACACGTCGCCGTGGCGGAGCAGAACCAGCAGAGAGGCTGGGCCGAGTGCAGAGACGCTGTCAGCGACGGTCGGACCCCCCCCCCCACCACAGTCACGGCCTCCCCGCTCTTGTGAACTCACCGGTCACGGGGTGGCTCCGGAAGAGCGCGTCGTTGCCGTCGTCTCGGCTGACTCTGAAGATCAGCTTGCAGATGTTCAGCAGGTTGTTTCCGCTGATGCCGAGCTGGAACGAGGGGCGACACGTCACTCTCTGTGCGTCCTGCACGCTAGAGGCACTGCCCCTAGTGGCCACAGGAACCACTACGGCCAACCGCTCCACTCAGACGAGTCAGAAGCCGCGTGTCCTTTTGTCTCGCTATTTTTCATTGGCTGTGAACGACATCCTACATCACTTCAGCTTCCGCGTGCCGGACCGTCTACTGACCCACTACTCATCCTTTCCATTTCACTAGGATTCCACTTACATATGGGTCCCGCAATCTCCAACAGGAATTAGTTTATTTACTTGCCCAGCACATGATCCAGCCCAGACACTGTAGCCAGGAATCAGCCTCCTCAGTTTGTTATTTGCATGAATTATTGTCTCTAATTTAAATACCAAATACAAGCATCGATCGCCCCTCCCTTTAATGGCAGCACTGAATATCACTGGCACTGATATATTTGTCCTGATCCCCCCCCACACAGACTGACCCAAAAAAAAAAAAAAACATTAAAACTTTCATTATTAAATCTAATTTCATTATTTTGTTAGCATCGCGATGTGTACCAGCATATAGTATATCTCATGGCGCAAGAACAGCGATGATTGTTTTCTCCAGGTCGCGGGAAGGTGGGGTGGGGGTGTGGGTGGGGGGGGGGGGGGGGTAGCTGGAGCCTTACCACCAGGGCGAGGTTGGCCAGCTGCAGGCTGAGCTTGTCGGAGCCCACGTCGACCAGCTTGAACAGCGTCCGGAGGAGGGTGGACCTCATGCTGGAGTTCCTGCCCAGCACGGCCCCCTCGGCCAGGGCAACGCGGAGGCGCTCGCACGTGCAGCACAGCTCATCCACCGCTCCGGCTGCTCTGAGCACAGCGGGGGCTTGTGTTGGTTGTGCTCAGCCCAGTGAAATTTACCCTAAGTGTTTGTCTTTCCCATACACAGGCCCCAGTGCTTAAAGAGACCAGCTCAACAAGTACAGCACTAATAACATAAAGGTTGTGGGTTCAAATCCCTTGTAACCCACTAATATAAATCACTTTGGATAAAGCATGAAGAGAAATGAAGAAAGGGCTGCATTACTGGTGACTAGGACAGGAACACACTGTCTACTGTGATATGAGTAAAGGGACAAGGCAAAATTAAAGCAATCTGGTAAAAGAAAAATATATATATAAATTTCATAAATATGCCACACTGACAAAGGGCACATTATGCCAGGAATGTCTGCGCCAAGTTGTTTTGTATGGATTCGAGGTTTTATCCTCTCTCTGGTCGGATATTAATCAGTCCTGTAGGTTTGTTTTTTTCTTTTGTTCAGTAACAGCAACAGTGCTGGAAAGCTGGTAAGGCTACGGCCAACAGAACAAACAGCAGGACATTAAGTGGCCGAAAGACTGAACAAAGAGCATAAAGGACGGCAGGAAGGGGCCCGCCTGTCTCGGTTCGCCTCGAAGGTCGGGATGGGAATCCAGGCGTTGATGGGCTGCACCTTGCGCCAGCGAGTGAATCTCCTGGAGGAGGTCTGAAAGTCGGCTGTTCTGGGCTGTGGTTTCCTCTGCCTCCGTAGCCGCATAGTTACCGTTACCCCGAGCTGGCAGAAAGGGGGGGGGGGCAAAAAATAGTGCTAAATACAGTCCTACCATATTACAGCAGAGGGGAACTGGCACACAAGGGAAATTGTTTGCCGTTTGTTAGTTTGTAGCCCTCCATCCGGTCGGTGAGCCAGTACGAACAGTTCGAACCGTACGGATGGTTTATTGCCTGGCTGGACACTGTCAGATGTCTTAAAGTCACCCCTGTTTAGAGATGGGGCAGAGCATGTTTTACAACTGATGGGGAACAATAGAAGAGTGAATGAAAACTTGTGCTCCTTTAATTACTGTTTACATGTCGCGGGACATGACTCTCTGCCAGGGTCATATGTGCGCTAACCTCTAAAACATACTGTAATGGTACTTGGCTGAACAAACATTAGCCCGTTTTGTAAAATAAATATCTTTAGAGGAAATGCGACATTAAAGGTCAGAATTCACATCTGCACTTCCTTGCTGCCTTCTCACGGCGTCGCATTAACAGGCATTTGCATATCTTGCTTGCAGTTGCAGTTGCTCACATGTGAAAGCCTGTCAGCTATTGGCTGCTGCTCCCAGGCGACAGGAGCAAAAGCCATAGCAACAATGTAGCGGTTTAAGGTGCAAGTCGTGTGCCCATCTCATACGTGGGAGACAAAAAAAAGCTGCGTTCATGATGGAAGGGGAAAAAAAACCAAAACAAACCCCTAGTCAAAAATAACACCGACCTTATAATTCACAAGGTGTCTGACATGCACACAGATGAGCCCTAAATGAGAAAATTCAGGGACATTAACATACAGAAGAGTTTCCCCAACAGCGCTCCTGGAAACCCGCTGCAGACAAACTCTGAATTATGTTTGCTTGGGCTGCTGATAAGATCTGACTTGTCAAAGCTTGACATTAAAGAATTCTATACTTCCCCCCCCCCAGATGTGTGTATGTACTGATAAACAGAAAATCAAAAATATTTCTTAAGTTTTTCTTTTTTTTCCCCTGCGTATTGAAAAGACCTAGTTACAAATACAATCACCTTGACGAATGAAGGGCTGTATTTAATCACCCTTATTTCATTGTTAGTCGACTGGTAAATTCGGCACTTATCTACTATGGCAAATTTTCATCTGCAATTTGCATGTCTTTATGGGATTCATTCCCATTGCAGGTTTCCTCTAAATATCCCAAGTCATCTAGTCTAAATAACCTGGTGAGGTGACTGAACCCCCCCCCCACCCCCCACTCTGTGACCAACGATTACCATGACCCTAACTGGTTAATGTTACTAACATTAGATTAATTAACCTCTTCCTTAATGAAAATGCTAGTACATATTTTGTTGGTGTTCAATACATGCGTATGTTGATGACTATTCTCATCGTCATAGGCAATTCTACTTAATTCCGAAGCGGAATGTTTTTACGGCATGTAGGTCAGCGGTCACATTATTATTTCACCAGACAAACCTGTTCGTGGCACAGATCCTGAGCGGTTCCTTGTAGGTCTGGGGGAAGCCCTGAAGACAGATACACAGCAGCGCGTGAGCTTCTTCTGGCAGAAGAAGCAGAATGTCAAAGACAAAGGCTGACACCTCTCAATCTGCACCCAAACTGATCAGAAATACAGAGGACACAAATCATAAACAAAACAGGCTCACTGCGAGTATCAATCTGTAACAGAGTAACAGTGAAACATAATCTTATGTTCCCTAAGTACACATAGTTACTATTACAACTTTATAATGTAAAAAAAAAGTAAGAATATTGATAGTTTTTGTACGTTTATATGAAAACCATGACACTGATGTTTTCACCTTCGGTCCTTCGGTAGATCTCATTCACTAGATGTGTAATTTACTAGATGTGTAATTTTACTCCACTAGATGGCTCTGCTGTATCAGCCCAACTCATCTGTCCCATATAAGAACACAAACAGTGCTATAGACATCAGGCATAAGAATGTGACTCAGTTGAAACAGATCAGCTATCTTATCTTGGTCAGATAATCAGAAGATCTAATTAACCAGAAAAGGCTACAGGGCCAGGCAAGGCTGGACATAAAAGAATAGAGGATGACTGTAAACAAGGTGAAGGGATTCGCAACACTCAGCATGCCATGGAGAAGCATGCAAATGCATGCAGGAGACAGCGCATTCCCCAGAAATGCCATCCGCAAGATTTTTCATTTATGTGTTGGGGAATCCAAGGTCTGCAGTTTAATAAATGTAACCACTTTTCTCAAATTTCTATTTCAAAAGTCTACACACCACTTATCTAAAGTACAATAATAATAGGTTATAGCATAAACATGTATGCAACAAGTTTTAAGACAGAATGCACTTAGAAAAGTAGTCAGTCTCCATTCAACTACTTCTTTTATCCATAAAACCCAGTCTAGACACTGTTTCTTTTCTTTCTTTTCCACCAAACTTTCCAGGAAATTTTGTTTACCAAGCAGAGCATCAACTTTCTCAAATGGCACCCTAGACCAAGCAGAGCATACTGCACACGCAAGACGAGGGGAATCTGAGCACTGCTTGGCTGGCCCAATAACGTTTCTTTGTTTCGATTGCATTTTCGGAGACATGATGTCATCTGTCTTCAGGCAAACTGTGATGGCAGTCAAAACAATGGCCTAAGCTAGCCTGCTGGAGTTGCCTTCAAATGGGCCTTCTATTAGATTTAGACTCTCATCATTAGAAGGCTGGAATCGAGAACTGGTCACACAATATTGCTTTCTGTATCCACAGAAGCACAGCTCCACATGCAAGTCTTGCTATATTTTGTTTCTAACCTTCTTTGTTCTACATCTTGGGAGAGGAGAACAGCAGTTAGCATAATGGATGAGGACATCAATTCGCAAACCTTAAGGTCGCTGGTTCAGGTTTTAATCAGGGGTCCTGCTGCTGTACCCTTGGGAAAGGTGATTAATCGGAATTCCCTTCATTAAAAATACAACACTCTAAGTAACTGGGCAGAACATTAGACATATGCTAGATAATATCCTTGTATAAGATCCCTCTAGCGAACTGTAGCTCAGAAATGGCTTCAAAAATTCAGACCACAAGCTTCTACAGGAATTCAATATGTCACGACTTCTGAGAGGAAAAATATATTCTGCTGCCCTCTGGGTTGTAAGATTAAATTGTTTACAGTGAGATGGGCACCCATAAAAATGTTTTATTACTTATTGGCCAAAGACTGTGGTCATAGGAAATCAATGTATGACCAGGTCTTAATGGTATTCTGGTCCTCAAGGGTAATGCTGAGATCTGAATGGAGACGAGCAACCGAGGGGCGCTTTGGGCTAACGCACATTACAGGAGGTGTCAGAATCTCTGTCTCTCACCATGAGATGCAAAGCAATACCGACTAGAGCACTGACAGAGCTGGAATCTCCTCCTACCCAATCTGAATGTGTAAAGAAGCACCAGACATGACAAGACCAGTAAACAGCTATACCTAGTTTTCTGTTTGGAAAGAAGGAGCCAGGTAAGGCTGTGGCTGACTTAAGAAAAGGCGTCACATGGCAGCGACCTTTATGAATCGTTTTGTCTCTGGGTATCGTGCAAGACGTACTGTACCTTTCGGTCCCAAGTCTGAGGGGAACGGCTTTCTCACAGGAGGACAGAGAGGGGTCTCCCTTTTCACATACCCAGAAATCAGGAGTTCCATCCTGCTGGGTATTTGATCTCAGAGAATGGCCTGGTTCATATGAAGGATCAGAGTTATGTTTACCTGGAAGGGGAGGAAAATTGTATTTATCAGCAAAACGTACTGGAATGGAACCACTCAACAATGTATATGTATGTCAATTTAAAAAAAAATTGCAGTCATTGTGGTGTTAAATGAAACAACACTGCGGCACCTAGCACTGCTTAGTATTAATGCTTTAAATCATACAATAAGCACCCTCCTCAGCGATCTCTCAAAGAAACAAAAGCTCCCGCCCACTTACTGTGCGCCGGCAGTCTTGTCAGCGGCCGCCCCCTCGCGGGGTTGGCTCTGAGCAAACGGAGCCGCCCTGCACTGCCCGTTCTGGGCTGTTGTGGATTGGTGGGAGGTGTGGGGGTAGCAGGAGATAATTCTGGGGAATCATGATCACCGTCCTCCTCACCTGGGAGTGGCGGCATTTGGGGTCTCTGTTCAAAGTAAAAAAAAAGAAAAAAAAAAACTGTCAAGACAGAGTCCATTTCCCAGAAGCCCATGCTCTATGTCATGCACCGCCAGCATGGGGTGAGAGAAGCAGCTTGAACATACGTATTCCAGTGGGGAGAGACGTTTGCCCGATCCGGGCCTCGAATCAGACTCTTCAAAATGGCGAGCCTCAAGACTGAAACACAAAGACCACTTATAAAATTTCCACAGAGTCAAGCATGCAGCTGTGCTCTGACATTAAGACCATATGCTAAAAAGACCATACTTTTTATAGAGTGTTTTTCTGAAACTCTCAGTGAGGAATACTTTGTTGGGTTGGTGCTGCTAGATATGTTTGTTTATCTATTGGGTGGTATTTAGCAGTGCTCCCAAAACTTCAGACATTCAGAGTATTTTAGCATAATACTGGATCACTGAATCTTTTAAACTTCAACACAATTACAAAATAAACAACATTAGTTACAAAGGGGTAGATTTAATTAAGTATGGCCGGTAGGGACATGTTATTTTGATACAGCTTGATTTATTGGCAAGACTACTTGAGGGGACACAAATAATGTAGTATTATGCTATTACTTACGTATTAATTAACCACAAATTAAGTGTTAGTTACAAACTGATCTCATGTTCGTTCATCATTAATGTATCATGATGCATCTTTTATCTCAAGCAGTTACTATATTTGTTACTATATCTGTTAATTATGTAAACCTCTGTGAATCACAGAAGGAACTACTGTGGGAAGAGATAATAACACGTAAAATAATGCTCATGTTTGTTCATCATTAACAAATTGTGATGCATCATTTATCCCAAGCAGTTATTATATCTGTTAATTCCTTAAATCTTAGTGAACTACTGAAGGAACTACTTAGGAAGTATGGAATGAATAAGTCATGAATAACACACGTTCAATACTGACGTCATGTTTATTCATCATTAATGGACCATGACACATCTTTCATCTTAAGTAGCACTTATATTTGTTCATGATTTGTACTTCAGTACTAACTGAGCTATTACTAAGTATTTGTAACCGTTCAAGTAAAGTGTTACCGATTAATTTCTTGGTGACCATAACAACACCTAAAACAGGTTAATGCTGACCTGAAAGATGAAGGGGGTCTGCTCTCCAGGGCCCGGCATGGATACTGGCCCAAGAGCCGCCTCTGGTCGTCCTTTGGCGTGAAGGGCCTCTGTGTGTGGACTGTCCTAAGGGATCGACGAGCCTCGCTCACGATCTCGGCGCTCGTCTTCCTCCCCAGACTCGGACTCATGTAGAAGGGCTTATTGGCTGACATTTTTCGGCTTCAGGAACAAGAAGTTGTCGGCGTGTATAGGTTGATTATTATTATTATTATTATTATTTTATTTTTTATTATTGATATTGCTAGCGGCACTATCTATGTCCTTTAATATATATATATATATATATATATATATATATATATATATATATATATATATATAAATTATGTCGTGGGAAAACAGAGATAAACGACATAGAATACATTAAAATGCATATTCTGTAGTTCTGATACCATTTTAAGCAACTATTTCCATTAAAATAGCCACGAATCAACATGTGTCACTAGTGCAAGACTGCTCTGTGTTTTACAAAGCAGTGTTCAGTGCTTTAGGGTAGTGGGTAGTGTCATTTCAGCCATGTCGGTCTGCGAACAGCAGAAAAACTACAGATATGTTACTTCCCCGATGTGCTCGACGGTTCCAGGCCGAGTGTTTCGCTTTCAGTGTGCCAGGCCACATTTTAAATAAGAGCTATTTTATCAGCTGACTCCAGTGCAAGAAAGCGAAGACTGGCTTCACAGGTTACAGCCAGAGGCAGAGACTGCGCACGCGGGCTCCGTCGCCATGGTTTCCACTGTACACAGGTCTCATGATAACAAGTGCTCAAAAACCGCCTTTAGTCACATAACCATAATACTGCTATACAAACTAATAGCATTCTAACATTACATTATGGCTTGCATTTAGCATTAGCTGTCATTTCGAAAATGATGTAAAATCCATATCGTTAGTTATAAAAGAGACACGCAAAATGCATACTAAGTTAGACGGACATAGTAAACAGCTCCTCCGGGAGAACAGAACGTAAGCTACCTTACCTTGAATTTTTGAATACCTCCGCACTCCCAGTTTTATTTAAGAAATGAAAAACTAATAAGACACAATGAAAGTATGTGTACAGTCACGATACAAGCCAATTAGAGACGGAACGCATTAGTTAACTGGTCACCGATTGGCAAGCAATTTTGTCACGTGATACAGAGCCAGTGACGTCACTTGTTTCATCGCGTCTTGGCGACCTGTGAACAGATTTGACTGTCGTGGAAGAGGTGAGTTTATTTATAGTACGAAGTGCGGCAGTAAGCACGGGCATAGCCCACTTCATAAAAATGACAATAGCCATATAAATATAATTTACCGTGATAGTGAACGTTCAGCATTTCAAATGCTTTCAGCTTGTAGAAATAGGGAGTTGCGCCCTGAGTGATTTCTTTAGATGCTGGCGGGTGATCACGTGCATCTCAGTTATTTGAGCGCCAAAACGCAAAAGCTCACATTTTGTCAAATATTTTACTGTACATATGTATCAACTTAGCTGGCAAGTTCATTATTGAAGGCAGACACCATTTATATGCAGGTTATAAAAGTATATTTCGCGTAACAAAAATACCTGGTGATAGTAATGAGGTTGGTAATTGATATCGTTAATCGAATACGGAGGTATTTAAATAGCAACAACATGTAATACAATTTAAGGGCAACTTAGAAGCTAAAATTATAGATTTAAATTAAAGGAAAATTATAATATTCCAAACCTAAACCATAGATATATATGATGCACAAGGGGGCGGAGAGTGTTTGATCTCCAGTTTGGTGAAGTTAGCCTGTGAAGATCTACTCGTTTGCACACTACTGTAAAGAGGTCTTCCCAGAGCTCTGCAGGTAGAACAGGCCACTCACATGCCAAAAATGACCATCATTTGCTGTTATTATGCGATTCAATAATTTAAATGAAATACTGGGATCTGCAGTGATTAGTCATTAAAGAGGTTATTTGACAAGTTAGTTCCACTTAAGTACTTTATTTATGGTGAAAAGTTTGGCCAGCAACCTTGATTCAGTTTAATTCCTTCAGACAGACTGTGGGAATGTGTAGGCTGTCCTCTAGCTAGGGTGGATTGATTTGTGTTTCATTACTTTGAATGGAACAGGCTACAATGCAGTTTGGAGGACCTTGGCGGAATAAATCTCATAGTGTACCTCCTTTGCCAGCTACTGGCTACTTTCTATGCACAATTTTTCTCTTAATAGCTAAATGCTAAGCGGGTGGAGCTAAAAAGGGACTCGGGAAGAAAGCCTTAAAGTCAGTAAATTTGCCTTTATCTGGAACATAAAAACTTGTTTATATACACTGTTCTGTTTGTTTTAAAAGGGAAAAGGAGGAGCTCGGAAATGGGTGGTAGTTCATTATAGATGATGAATCACGGGCGGGTTTTCTTGCAAGGTGGGGGAAAGTGGGGGTGCATCAAGGGCAACAAAGGGCTGTTTGAAAGCTAAGCGGAAGCAGCTTTCAGTAAGTAGGGAGAAGACTGAGGTAAACTGCCGACCTTCAGCAAACCATGCACATCTTAGCTAACGTCTTGCATGAGAACATGCTTGATATTAGCCAGTTTTTGCAAAGTTCATTGCGCCCTGAATTTTTGTGCTATGAAATATAACAGGCATATCGTGATAAAGATAATGCTGTCATGAAGTAAAAACCTGTTGGACTCTCTGTTTTCTGCCTTTCATCCATTTTCCCCACCTCTTTTCCTGTCACTCTGCTTCATTGATGCAGCAGTGAACAATCAATGTTTTGCTGCGTGCCTTTTACGAATCCAGCTTCTCAGAACTTGATCTTTCAGCATATAATTAAATGAAATATGCTTGGTGCAGCATGTCAAAAAATGATGGCTGACTGTGTGTCACCCGGGCAAATAAAGGGAGTTTTACTGTGACATTATGTGGATCCAATCAGCAGTTGCCAATGGATTATTTAAAGCCTATGTATTCATTTAAAAAACAAAATCATTAATGAAAAGTATTGAATAAAAGATTTCAGAATTAGAAAAAACATTTTAAGTGAGGGTAAATTTTAGACAGGTGTTTTCAGCATTGTTTAAAAATTACATTTTTACTTGGAATGTTTATGGTAGTGGATAATCTGTATTCTAGGGCAGCACAGTGGCTGAATGGGTTTCCAGGGTCGGGAGTTTGAATCCTTCCTCTAGCCTTCCCATACTTCCCTGCTGTGCCCAGACCGGCATGCTACACTTTGTAAAAAGGGGGATATCCCCCCCCCCCACTGCTTTGGTAAAACATTCAGCTCTATTACTGAGAAAAGTGTGTGTGCGCCTTGAATGTTGTGCCTGTGTTTCTATGGGATTACTCCTGGTTTTCGCTCACAGTCAAAAAATATACTCATAAGTTAATTTGTGATGATAAATTGCCCATAGTGTGCAATGGACTGGCATCCCATCCAGGGTGTCCTGGCCTCACATCCAGGGTGTCCTGGCCTCACACGCTGTTCTTCTTGAGGTACGTTTTAGGATCACTGTGATCCTGTACTGCAGTGTTTCCCAATCTGGTCCTCGGGGACCCAGTCGTTCCATGTTTTTGCTCCCTCCAAGCTCCCTGCCAGACAGTCTGCATTTTTCCTCCCTCCCAGCTCCCCCAAAAATGTGGACTGTCTGGGGGGTCTCTGAAGACCGGATTGGGAAACACTGCTGTCCTGGATAAGTGGTCTGGAATATGGCTGATATTAAGTACTTTTAAAGGGTATTAGACAGTATTGGCTAATCCTTTTGGGGCCCAGTCCTCTAGCTTCTCAAAACAGCAATAGCTTATTTTTTTGCTGAATTAAAGTTGACCTAGAACTCCATACCACAAGAGGTCACTCTGTGTTCCAAAAAGAGGAAAAAACACTGGATAGAGCAGCTGTTTCACCCTTTAAATTTAACCAATTTTGAATACTCTGGGTGGACTTTTCCATCTGACATACCATTTTACAATGGTTGACTGACCTCTTTTTTATAAGATAGATTAGGAATACTGCCAATATCTCAACTGACCTAGAGGCCATTGATCAAAACACACTTCTCTTTCTTCATGTTGAATTGAAATAGGTGGCCCATGAAATGGTAGGTCTTTCATCCGACACATTTGTTAAAAGGACACCTGACAAACTGAAAAGCAGTCTGGCCATGTAAACACTACTGCAGAAGATGAAACGGTGACGATGCATCAGAAGTGTAACGTGGCCTGACACACACACACACACACACACCGAGAACTTCACAGTCCTTTGCACAACCTGACATTGGGATTTCTGATGGATGACAAACCTCATCAAGCTCCTAGGGTTTTGCAAAGGTCCATCTGGTTTCCCTGCAGCTGCCTCAATGTGAAAGGCAAAGTTACAGGTGCCAAGATGGTGTGCTATATAGATATTTTTGCCGCTGTTCATAAACAGCTTTGGAGAGGCAAGCATAAAACTGGTGTCGTTAGTTGAGTTTAGAACTTTTTGGTTGACTAAGATGTGCACGCTGAACACTACACCACATACTGGTTAGGTGAATGTTCTTACAAATTGTTCTCTATCAACCCCCACCCTACCTTCCACATTTTAAAAAGTAAAATGTATGAACCATTTTCAGCCTCTCTAGTTGGATTTAAATAGCTCTACAGGCTCCATTCTCTTAGATACAAGGATAGTCATTGGCTCATATTGTCACATGGCCATATCCAATCAGAAGACATCAACAAGGTGCTTTCCACCAATGAGTGCATGCAGACGGTTGCTGTAATTTCATTGTCACTAAGGGAGGGAAAACAGAGCTGGGACATTTTTTTTCCTAACTGAATGATGTGCCTCCTGTAGTCATAAATGTTTATCTGTTGTCTTAATACATTTGTGGGGATGTTAATGAAGACAATTGAAGTACAAACTAACATACTGCTGTGCTACAAAATGATCCCTCACTTGAATAAATATGTGCTCGCACAAGCTATCGCCCTCCTTCAAGATGGTGTGTCTCCCTAGCAACCATCCCCTGGTGGACAGTCATAAGCCTCATGACGTACAGGCTACCATTGAATTAAGGTGAATCAGGACTTCTTGGGTGCATCATAGTCCACAGACTGCTATATAACGCTCAAAAATGGGAAAAGGGACATGCCAAAAAAAAAAAAATTCATATTTAAAAGCATATTTCTGGTCACTAGTGAAAACAAGCTTGCATGACATCACTAATATTTTTTTCTGTGGCACTCGGCATGGGATGTATTTGGCCTGGATTATTTCCAAAAATTCCTTAGATGAATTTATTTGATACTTTTATTTGGCAGTCCTAAACAAAGCATAAAGGAACAGAAAAGGAACAAAATCATTCTATTCTATTTGTACATGCATATATTGTCAGGATTTGTGCATAATATGTGTTGTCACAAACAGGATAAATGGGTTATCCAGAAAAAAAAAATGAATTCTACTGTATGTGTAACTGAACTGCTGAATTTTCTGAAAATATGCATGGAAAAAATATAAAGAATCGATATAGTGAAGAAGGGCATTGAAATGTTTAAGTAAAGGGCATGTCAAGATGTGAAGATGAATTGAAATGCATTCACATTCACGCTACACATGTGATGTTTTCTTCAGCACCTTTTTGCTCTAAGGAGAAGAGGATGATTAGGATATACTGGAGCAAAAGTCATTCCATTCTTTTCTTTGAGACTGGAGTCCGGGAATGATGTTTGATGCTGGCTTTCCTGCACGTGAGCTGGACTTCCAGAGGTTGCTGAGCCTGATAAATTATTCACACAGACATGAGTAATAACTCTCAGATCTAGGTTCTAGAATAAGCTAAGCTGCTTCCGGCTCTATGCTTGGGTTCTCGTAGCAGATTAATATGGCAGAGTGAAAGAGTGACGATCAACCACAATTCGGAACAAAGAAGGATATGTGTGCCCTAATTACGAAATGCTGTGTTCTGTTGCAAATAGCTGAATTTTACACCAGATATTGAAATCTTTAGTAGAAATATTGACTACGAAATGTAGATATTTTGTCTCAAGGAATATAGAGCTTGACATAATGTACACTTTAGAATGCAAGAAGAGAAAGGCTTTAAAATAGTATAGTTGCATGAATAAGTCTTTTTCACTCAAATTCATGTTGAAGAGAAGTGGTCTTTATTCCTTCTGCATTGCCAGCTGAAGCCTTTGAGACGTTCTCCTCAAAATGCATACTATTCGCTGTCATCTGCACACCTGACAATCGCAGCTGCTTGTCACGTACATAGTGAAGGGCACCACAATTGATCCCCGCAGAGCGTCCGTGAGAGCAGCAGGCTATGATCAGCCAAGCAGGGAGCGAGGCAGCGGCAACTTGTAATGTGGAAACAAGAATAACAGATCGTCAATGACGGACGACACGGCCGCCGGGTGTAATCTGCATGGTTTCCGTGGGAACGGCGGGAAAGGGTCATTGGAACGGAACCCTGTAACGGAGCCTATTTTTACAGGGAGGTTCCCTCCGGCTGTTATGCTGTACAGGTATTTTTCAGAAAGGATTATAAAGAAACAATAAGCCAGTGCATGAAAAAATGACCTCTGGAAAGTCTTAAGGATGTTTACAAAATTTCAGTTGTAGTTATGTAAATGATTTCTGTTTGATAAACATTTAGTATGTGAGGTAAGTTAGCCTGCCGGCGGTGCACATAATTTCAGTGATGCTATTAGTTAAAAATCTTACTTTCCTAAACCTGCCCACAGGTGTTGTTTGCTGGGACAATGCAATGAGTGTGCTGGAATGTAAAATACACTTATGCTTTATATGACCTGAAAAGTGATATCTGCCTGTCATTACTCCTTTGTCTCAGTTTTGAGCCGATTGGAGGCTGAGAGAGGAGAGTCATGTGACACTGACGCAGCTCGTGGCCGGCGACGCGCCTGCTCCCAACTGAATTACAATCTAGTTACACTGAAATCCACGAACGTTCTTCAGAAAGCTTGCAAAAAAACTGGCTCGTATTTTTTAAATATGAGTTTCCGTCTTTCCACACCTCAGTTTGTGAGGTGTGTCAGACACCATTCATTAATGTGTCTATAAAAAGACTTCGTTTTTACTGTCCATCTGCCCACACCTTTCACAAACACGCCCGACCGGTTTCACTACATAAAAAGGACAAGCGCATGGCTGGTGACAGGGCGACTAAGTTACTCCAAGACAATGCCTTTTTGCAAGCACAATGCAGCTATGGATGGACCTCTGAAACTGCCTGAAATGCGTTTGGTTTGCCCATTGAAACACCCTGTTGTACACCTTGTTTCTTCAATTATGGGCGTGTGCTGGATTAGTCACTAAACACCGTTGCTGAAGCGGTAGTGTGCTGCCAGTTGATCGGCGTGTTACTGCGGTACGCTCCCCCCACCCTCCCCAGAGCATGTCATTCTGAGCGCTGGGTTTTGTGATCTCCCTGCTCGACATCTTCCTATTGAACCGGCAAGTGCTTTTTACTGCTGCCCCGTGTAACGTGACTGCGCCTGCAGTGTGTATGACTCAGCCATTTTTGCGGTCAGGGCCGTTTGTGATCCAGGGCATGGGACATAATGATGCTAGTGGTTTGGCCTTGATTGCCTCTGCCACCAGAGCCCCCTTGTAGTGACGTCTGCTAGGTGACATCATCAGTGTCTGGTCACGGGTCAGATTGCTGCTGTTATCGATGAGTAAAAGGCATACATTTAGACTTGTCCTATATTGCCTTGAGCAATTCTGTTGTATATATGGTGCAAAAAAGTGAAGTTTACAGTAACTCATAATGGTTGCACATGGCTGTTGACTTTTTGGTCATGAGTGACGGTACTTATTGTCCGGTGTGCTGTACCACCTGTACTGTTTGCCTCTCAATTAATGTCCTACGCTCTTGATGCTGAACCTGTGGCTTATTACTGATCTGTCCTGGTGTGCCTGAATTTATGAGGTTTTGCACACATGGCTTCTGTTGACACACAACCACCTGGCTAACAGGTATCGATTGCTCAATGATATGGCATAAATAACATGTGGCCGTTGCGTCGTATTTGTGTTTTGTTCTTACCGCAGGCCTCTGAGCAACATGATCCCGCTCCTGAAGAAGAGCGTATGGAGCAGACAGACGTCTGCAGTAATTCCATCACCATAGTCACGCAGGGATGGCCCTTGTGTCTCTTCTGTGATGTGTAAGTGTCACCTGTCATGGCTAAAATGTAAACCTCTAAGTGACGGCTGACAAATTCACCATTGCTGTTACTGTTGATGATATTATAGGAAGTAGTTGAAATCGGTAATGTTTTATAAATGCTGTTTGCTGTTTTGGTTTTATTATGGTATGTAGGAAATGCATTTATGGGAGGCAATATTAGAAACTGGCAGGTCACAGTTTGCCACAAGTCTTCTTCACTTAATGGGGGTGTTGGTCAATGCTTGTACCTCCGATTCTGTGGGAGATCAGCGTCACCCTAATGATGGTGGAGTTCGGCGGGGAAATGACTAGGCCTACATTTGGGGAGCAGATGAAATTGGGGACAAGGAAAGAGAGCAATGAAAATAAACAGTCCAGCATTGCCCTTACTTCAGCAGCCCTTCCCCCATCCGCCACAGCACACACTTTTACCCAGCAGTGAGCTGGAGCAAAATTTATGTTCCACATTTAAGCTCTCTGGCGCCTTGTCGGTTACAGAAAGAGGCGTTTCTCTGGTGTCTTTATTGGTTTGGGGACAGGCTTTGTACCGGCCCAGCAGCATAGCCTGTCATTTACTAATCCCCTGAGGGAGTGTGGCTGCTGTGCCCCCCGCCAACCCACCAACTGTCAATGCTCGGTGAAATGCTCCATAAAAAACATTGACCTTGAAGTTCTCCATCGGAGGCACTAATGGTGAAAGGGTCAGCTGGGGGTGTGGAGAGGAGGAGTGGAAGCTGGTGAATTCTTCACTGCGCTATAGCCCCGCAGAGGCCCCTCCGTGTCGCCAGCGCTGGGCGTCTCGCTGGCGGCGCATGAATAATTTAATCTGTTGCTGGTTAAAAATGCATATCTGCATGGGCCTCACACAATCAGAGGGTGAGCGGTGTGGTAGAGGAGACTAGTTGTGCCCATGTGTGACTGGGGGAAGGAGATACTGTAGTCCACCTCTCACCATGTGGTCCTCCAGGAGCAGGAGTGCACTGATGATTTTAGGGTCAGATCGTTCTGAGATCCTCTTCCTGTGAAGTGCAGCATTTCTGATGCTCATCCCTTTCATTGATTTATTTTACCCCTCCCCACCCCCTCCTTAATGCTCCCCGGCACATGCTCATGATCTCATGTCATTCATCTTTGGCACCTGAGTCACTGCATCAAAAGCTGTCCATGTGAAGAGGCAGCTGGGACTAGGTACGGCGAGACCGCAAGGCTTTCTCATCTGTTAGCTGGTTCTCCGTTGACAAATGACGTGTGCGTCACATTAAAACCGATGACAAGGGGACATGAGCCATCAGTTGGGAATTAACTTAGATGGAGGGGGTGTATCTTCATTGTGCCAGTTGGTTGAATAAAGAAAATAAACTTGTTCAGAAAGGTGTATATCCTCTGAAAGGGCAGAAAATTCCCGTCTGTGAATCCCAATTCAGCACTGAATGCTCTGTAAGCAGTGAATGCTTTTTTGTGGTTTTGTAACGTGATTGTATACTTCTGTATACTTAGTGTGCTTGTTAATGCTTGTTATATACAGGTAACTACCATACAAAGTAAATGTCTGAGCAGATGAGTAATACCAACTATCGAAAGCAGGTGCATCTGCACAGATATGATCCCTGATTTGATTAATCAATTAACATCCCATCATGCTTAGGATGTATATAATGCTGAGTGACTTTATTTTGCAGGAAGGTTCTGGTGGCTGTGTTGTACTACTGTCTACAGATTTTATATTATTAAAATATATTGTTTTTTCTATCGTAGCAAGTAAAATAAAATTAAATTATAAAAATAAAATGACTCTGTAATGGCTGTTACCCGAAGTATTGGCCTTTAGTGGACTAAATATCTAGTAGACTAATATTTAATAGAATATGCTCTTTAAGGTCCCTTAACCTCCTGAGACCCAAGGAAAAAAGTGTCCTTCAATTATAGGTTATCTGTCTTTGGAGGAAATAAGACATCTTACAATTTAGATTTTTTCAAATTTATTTTTGTTTTTAATTTCACAGCATGTCCTCTTTAGTGCACAACAGGAATAAATATGTTTCCTTACATCACTGAAAAGATAGATGCAAAAACAACGTCCACTACAATGGACATAAATGAATGGGTGGGGTCTCAGGAGGTTAAAGAGCATATTCAACATCCTACGTACGTGTTTCTGCTATATTACACTGGTTGGACTCATGGAACAGGATGCTGCTTGTGTCAAGCATACCTGGACAAACTTTACGGAATTGTTGTGTTTGTTGACCCTTGACTATGGGTTAGTACATATCACTGTATGGACATGCAAACAGTATTGGACAGAAACCAAAAAAGGGAATGTGTAAATGAAATCTGCTTTGTATGGTAGCGAAGTAATGGCATGAACCATTTTTTTTCGTGGGGGAGTTGCCTTTTCCTTTGTATTGTCTGTGGTGACAGGGTTGTGTTTTCAGGCTGGTGAAGCTGAACGAATCATGGAGAGAAGTGTCTGCCAGAGTGTTTCTGAATGATTAGACGTGATGCCTGTCTTGTGAATGTTTTGCTGTGCAGTTGTCTTAGGAACCCTTAACTACCGAGGCTAACCAGGGTTCCTCAAAATGTTCTGCAGATAACAGTGAATTGGCATAGGTACAGATCAAGATCAATATTTATTGAACGGGATTGGCTCAGCCGTGAGCAGATCATACTTTATTAAAAGGGAGCAAGCTACTCCCAGTTTTATACATTTACATTCATTTTTATTTAGCAGATGCTTTTGTCCAAAGATACGTACAAGACAAATAGCACATTAACAAACATATGTGCTGTTATGGAGTTGACTAGCCATAAGTACAGCTAAGCTGAGTTTCGAGTGAATGCCCAGGTACAAGTGTAAGCAGTATTGGAGCAAGAGCTGTATAACATTTTCCAAATATAGCAAGAACTTAATAAGGCTACTATTCAATGACCAGAACGTGCAACATTAAGAACATTCAGGGAACAGAAGGGTCTTAAGAATGTGAAGACCGGACGTGGTTCGGCAGCTCATTCCACTATCGGGGAACCGCACGTGAGAACCATCTGGAGTGGCACTTCTCATGTGGTGAGTGGAGCTCCAAGCAGGGTTGCTCTGCTGACCGAAGAGGGCGAGATGGGACAGAGGTCTTAAGGAGCTTTTTGATGGCGATAGGTGCCTGTCCATTAATGGCTCCTAAAGCCAGCACCAAGGACATGAACTTGATGTGAGTGCCTGTAGGGAGCCAATGAAGAGAGATAAGGAGGGGAGAGAATTTTGGCTGATTGATACCAGACCTGCTGCTACCTTTTGAAGCATGTGCAGTGGTTTGACAGTACAAGCTAGTAATCTTTCTAGTGGAGAGTTTCAGTAGTTGTAAAGTAACACATGTGTACATGTGTTTACCCTGTCGTATAGGATTTCCTGTCTGAATGCATGTGATGCTTATATACAGAAGTATATAAGTATATGAGAACTTCCTCTGTGCTAATTTTGCTTTGCAAACTGTTTATCCAATGCAAATTAAACTCTAAAGGTCTTACCGCAGCTGTATCCTTCTACAGCTATATATTTACTAAAGTAATTAAGGTTGAGTACCACGTTGATGTGTACAGCATTCTAGAACTTGAACATACTTAATCCATGAGTCCTCATGTGTGTGTGTGTGTGCGCGTGTGTGTGTGCAGGTGATTTAAAGGAACCCAGGGTTTTAGCTTCCGCTACACTAGCAGGAAGACTATTCCATACTCTAACTACACGCTGTGTAAAGAAGTGCTTCCTCAAATTCGTTTTAAAATGTTCTCCCGCTAATTTCCACTTGTGGCCACGAGTTCTAGTATTTAAACTAATATTGAAATTTTTGGCTGAACAGCATCCAGACCCGTTAGAATCTTATATACCTGGATCATGTCCCCCCTTAGTCTCCTTTGCTCGAGGCTGAACAGATTCAGCCCAGCTAACCTCTCCTCATAAGACATTCCTCTAAGACCAGGAATCATTCTTGTAGTTCTATGTTGTACCTTTTCCAAGGCAGCAATGTCCTTCTTAAGGTGACCAAACCTGCACACAATATTCTAGGTGAGGTCTTACCAGGGAATTATATAACCGTAGCATCACTTCCCTAAGTTCCCTTGACTTATATTTTATTTTATTATGTAACTTACCTGTACTAATAGCCCCTAAGTGTTACTCTTTTTATAGTTTTATCCTTAACTTGGCATCTACAGGCTTACTCCAAATGACATTTTATTGTTTTTGTACATTGACAATAAAGGTACCTTATCTGAGCCAGGAAGTAACATAAGGACACACTGCTAACATTAGCATTAGCAAACCTACCTGACTAGTAACATTAGACCAGCTCCACAGAACTGAAGTGTGGCCTCATTTTGGCATCCAAAATAAAGAATAATAATAAATGCAAATGCCGATCTCACTGTTCTGACTGATTTAAAAAAGTAAACTTTCTTTTCTCAGATTTTACGCATATTGTGGTGTGTTCTTTATACTATGACAATTTTCTTAAAATTAGATTAGAAAGTCTCAATGTCGCCTTGCTTATATTTTCATATTATCTTGCAGTATGTATCATGATATGTATCGTATCGCCAGATTCTTGCAAAGACACAGCCCTACTAGCTAGGTATGACTACTAAAGTGGCCACTGCATGCATATGCACAAGTATACACACCAGTCACAGTATCCATTAGTTGAGGCCACTTGTGTAACCTGGCTTATTGATTGTGTGGATCTCAGTTGCCTGACTTTCATTGGCGGAATAACTCGCGTAGATTCATGAATCTTGGGTAGTCAGTTCATGCTTTCCTCTGGCGGCGCCTCATTCTGGACAGATGCGTGGATGCTGGGCTGCCCCACCCCTTGTAATCGGCGGGTTATGAACATTACCAGGTTATTTCAGTCTGGCAGTTAAGTAGAAGGTGTTACTTGTGGTAGAAGTATGCAGAGGAACGAGTCTGATTCGCTCACATTGGTAGCACAAAAGCTTCCACTATTTGTTTGA